ACAGTCATTATTCATAATGTGGACCATCAAAGAGAGCAGCTCCCTGTCAACACTGGGGGCTAATTAGTGGAAGAGTCACCGTGGGAAGGAGGGGGCATTGATTGTATAATGGCAACCTTGTTCGGATTTTTTCTCCCCCCCCATTTCCCAACGCATTCCCAAGCAGCTTCCGGTCTTTTTCGCTTTCTGCATCCGTGAACACAAGCGGCAGATGTGCGATACAGGTCGGTTTGTTACACGACAGTCGAGCATGGATTTAACGAGATCAAAACCAGTTAAAAAAGTTGAGGATGAATCCAATTTCTAGTTCGGCAGGCGTGCAATCTCGTCGGCCACTCGAGTGGAAAACGACTGAGGGATGGAAAGGGGTAATACATGTGGAATAACCCCTGAATTTTTTCCCCCTCCTCTTCTGTCATGCAAACAGGGAAGAAACAACACGGGCATCTGGATGGTCCGCGAGGGATTTGCATCGACAATGATGTTGAACCGCGTATTCGATTGCAAATTTTCTCTGTTTGATATCGCAGGAAGGAAGACGGCTGGGGGTATCCGGGCAGAATGATGTCTCCATCTGTTCTTGACAGGGCTCTTTTTAATGGGCAGGCTAGAGTTCTTATATCCCCATAACCTTCAGCTGGCAGGGAAAATGGAAGCCCTGGAGGGATAAAATCCATTTCGAGGGCTGAAACCATCAAACATGGACGAAATGGGGAGATACGAATTCTTTTCAACAGAGGGAGGTAAAGCTTCTACATGGAGAAGGAGAGAAACTTTTCTCCTTGTATCTTCTTGAGGTTAGCTTTTCGCTTCGACCCATGGCTGAAATCGAAAGGAGGTATCTCCTGAAGCGTTGATCCATCTGTAGGGAAGGGAAAGGGAAGGTCCTTTATCTCTAGGACGAGTCCAGAGGGTCAGTGTGAGCGCCATCGTTGAAGAGGAAGATGCGTCGCTATGCCCCGTGAGACACTTTTCTCAGCATCGCGGGTATGCTTGTTGCAAAGCTGTTCGTGCAGCTTTTAGGGCTCTTTGGTGACAATTTCTTTCCTGCACCTCCATAGCGAATAGTCGCAAGTGCTAAGGCCCGGAGTCCTTGGAGGTCGTCTCAATGGTTTCAATGGTCTCAGATCCACAACCAATCCACCAGTCACCTACCAATCCCACCAGCACAACCTAAAGGCAAAGGGACCGTCCGTCCTGTCTTGACAATATCCACATCCGAGAAAATTTCCTAAAATTATTATTATATCAATATATATATAGCTTTTGACAGGGACATCCTTCCAGATCCGAGTTAGAAACGTTTATCTTCAGTGAAAACTTACATTTCGGAAAATTTTCATTTTGTCTCTCACGCTCTTCCTTACAAAGATAACTGATGTTCCTGAATTTTGTACTGATAAAGAAGTCGAGGATCTCAGTTTGCAGATGACTTAACTTGCTGGATGACCAAAAACGTAGTGCATTTTTTCCAGTCCATAAATTCCAGCATATGTAGGATGAAGTATTGTTCCCAAACTGAGCCTTCCGGTTTTCCCTCAAAAAATCGTCATCGGTATTTTTCACCAGAAGTAAACACAGAATTCCAGAGGTAAATAAAGTTGACTGTGAGAGCAGATCCACGAAATTTTCAGATGAAATCTAATTTATATGACTTCATTTTAGCAAGAGGGTTTCATCGCGGTCCCATTGAAGAACCTTTCTCTCTTGCAAGAGTCTGATTTTATTGAGCTTTATTTCGGGCTCACAATAGGCTGCAGATATAAGTTTACTCGAACTCCCATATGAAGGATTGATAAGGTCCATGACTGAGGAACGTCCGGATCCATTCGTTTATCTCGAATCATTGCGCCTCTCTCACGTCAGCAATTCACCTGTCCTTGTTTCCTGTCCTTTTTCGCAACGGACACAATGGTCACGTAAGATACTCGCTCGTATTTCTGGTGATGATAAAGGAAAACATTCATTCTGCCCTACGACCAATAGCCGGAAGGGGCAGTGGTGAAGTCCATGCATTGAACCAACACGTCCACATTGATGGATCGAAGGACTCAAGCAGATGGAAGATATCATCGGTCGGACGGGCGACGTTCGTCCTATCGTTTTCTGGGGTGTCCAGGGCTTTCAAAATGTTGAACGATCCACTGGATTTTGTCAGTCATCGTGAAAACCTTGAGATCCATGCATACTCTAGAGAGAGAAACCCTTCAGATTAAAATGCTGTTATCGACAGTTTAGACATTCGGTCTCTTTGCAATCCTCTTCCTAGTAAACATCTAGAAGGGCTATGAGAATCTTTTCTTCTTCGTTTTCAATGGATCCTTTCACATTCAGGTTTCGCTAGGAATAAACTTGCTGATACCACGACAAAAGATGGTTCTTTCACAGGGTTGTGCATTTAGCTTCCAACATTCCTGAACATCTTGAAAATTCTGTCTAAAGTCCCTTGCGAAGAAACATGGAGACAACTTAATCCTAATGGCTCTCATCTGGAAAAGTTCAAGGGATCTCGGAATCAGAAGTTGGTGTATTCCTAACTCTTTAATTATCCATTCGACTTCTAGCTCCAGCTAATTAAAGCAAGAGAATCTCATTTTAGAATATCGGAAACTGCCTCAACTTGCCTCTCCCACGCACATTTTCGCGCTCTCGTAGTGTAACTGCCTCTACATGGGGTCAGAGTTCATGTGAGCACATCAGTTCAATGTGCTGCTTTGTTATAAGTGGCATTTTCGATGCGCACTTTTTTCCCACACAAATTATTTACGATGTAGTGTTAGAATACCTTGGGCGAGTTAAGTTTATTTAAATACCTAAACATATATAATGCTTCTACATGCAAACATAAACAAATTTTAGTCATAAAAATCTTTAGGTGTTTCGAAACTCTAATTATAAATTTCTGAATATCTAAAGATTGACTATAGTTGTAAGCTTTTAAATAAGTATTTCAAGTCTGAAAACAAAAATTTTCACAGGCATTATTGATATGAGTGTCTGTTAAAGGGTTGATAGCAGTCCAAACAGGTCCATTTGCTCGCCGTCGACTGGGAAATAACATTTTCGGTTTTACGAGCATTGCTTGAGGCTATCAAGCATCTGTACTGTGAAATTCCTGAGACCAACGGGCACTTTTGCCTTGAGAAGATTCCAGCATCAACGATCCAAGGAGGAGCTGGCTTTGTCCTCTCTTCGTTTTAATTGGGGGATTTAATTTTGGGGGATTTTAGGGATTTAATTGGGAGGTGCTTGTGAGATTAAGCTCCACATTTCCAAAAATAATTATTTTCACGTGATTATGGCGTCATTTCTCGTTGAATCTACTCCCCTGATCATGACTGAACATTTTAAATGACTATTTCTAATCATACTACATCATCATACTAATGTCTAGTATGAAGGAAATGACTTCCAGTTCCATAAACTATGAATATCAGAGAGCCATAACATCGATAAACCCTGGCTAAACTCCAAGTCACTCAGATACTTAACGATTATTGGAGAAAATTCTATTGACTTCATCAAAATCGCCCTTCAATTCCAAGAATAATGAAAATACGGCAAAACTACAGGAAATTTAGATTCTGCTGCTTAAGGGGAAGGGTAAGTATCGTGCCTTGCCATATTACTAGGGTGAATCATTCAAGATGATCGAAGGTGCCGGTGGTTGCTTCGAAGGAAAGCAAGTGTTCTCGGAAATTATTGCTTGACTGTGAAGAGACGCATCCTGAATGGATTGTGCAGGCGAATACAATGGCACACGTTCGGAGGAGAGTGGAAGCCAATGTCGTTCTTTCTTCGAAGTGAGGGAACAGATGCAAGTCCGTGTCCGAGGCCAAGAGACCGGAACTGAAGGCGAAGAGAGGGAAAGAGGAGGAGAAGGGGAAAAAAAGGAGGATCGATAAGAGCCAATGTGGGATGAAAGCCTCGCGGTGTGGTACTGATGAGGACGCAAACAATACATCGAGGGGCATCCATTATCGGCTTCTCTGGAGTGAGAAAGACAGAAAAGATGAGAATGGGGAAATGGAGAAGGAAAAAAAGTATATATATCGGGAGATCCCTTACAGGGAAAAGGAAATGGACACAGCTTCCGGGTCTTTCAAATCTTTCTCCTGTAGTCTACAGGCACAAACGGGATCCTACGGTTACAAACCTGTTGAATTCTCGCCGAAATGGCCTCATTTGCTCGCGAATCGTAATCATCTTCCGTCAAGAGAACCGAATAGAAACGAGCCATGGATTCATGGAAGGATATGACCCTGCTCGCATATGTGGGTTGAGCTGCACCAGATGCAAAGTTTGCATTCGAGCCAGCTGCTGCTCCTTTAATATCACGGCTCCCAGTGAATTGTCAATATTGACTGAGCTTTCCTGGCACCTGCATTATCATGGCACCAGATAATCGGAGGGCGTCCGATGATCTCGTCTAATTGACAATCGCGCCCTAACTCGCTGATTCGGACTGTATTTTCCGCTTATTTTATTTACTATGGAGTGTCCCAAAACTCTTGTGCGGTGCCACACGTCTGCAGGAATATTGCCTGGTTCTAGAGTATATATTTTTTCCTTGCCCCGAGGGAAGCCGCTTGTCACTCTAGAGCAGCGTGAATTGAAGGGGGCAAGGGAAAGCCAACGATAATTATTTCCTACAACCCGATCCTAATAATACGTCTCAAGAAACCCAATCTCTGTGCGGGTCAAGGGGGATTTCTTGCCCTCAGACATATCCCAAGCTGGAATCTCGACTGCCACAAGCATCTCAAAAACGGAAATGCTCTTCGTCGAATAACGGCTGTTTCAACTACGCCCCTTGCAAAACTCTTGAAAGAATTCGTCGTCTGAATTTACATTTCCTATTCTGATAGGTTTCGCTTCCGAAGCACTCTTTAACAGAAGGTTTTACATGGGGTCCATACGAATTGAAACTTCTTATCTCTATATAATGGACGTTCCATAAGAAGTTCCATTGCTGGGGATGAGGGTCAATTACGAAAACAATGCCGAATAGGGCGATAAGGTCTCGGGCCCTCTCCATCTCTGACATTCCAATGTCCAACCCGAATGATATGGTATGCAATGAGAGACATACCAATACAGGCAATAAAGAACGGGAACGCGCGAGTCTCATGCATCTCTCGATTGACGACGATTAACCATAGAGATATCGTGGATACGTATATTTAATATTGACAGATAGTAATGCTTCGACGAGAAATAGCTTGCGCTTCTTCATTTGTCATGGTCATGACACGAGGGGTGGATGCTACAATATCGAATACGGTTTATATGGGTTATTCAATTCCCTTTTACATAATTCATTAATTCCGTTCGACGGGAGGTATTCATCTCGAGGCTTGAGAGGTTTTTTTTTTCTCAGGAGAGATACAATCACGGAAAAGATGAGAACGATTCTGATATGCCATCTGGAGTTCATGACTCTAATTAAAAACTGAGGTTGAGTTCGTATTCATACATCAGCTGGCTTCTGGAGCACCAGCATGACCAAAAAAAGAAGCAAAACTGGTCTGCTCTTACCCTTTTTTTCCCCCTTCCATTCTCTTGGGGGGGAAAGGGTGAGATAGTCAGGAACAGTGGATCTTTTCCCACGGGAGTGACCACATCCCGATGGGATCGCAGACTAGAACGAGACACCTCAAGGGAGATCTGTAGACAGAAAAAAAGAGGAAGATAGAGGAAGCTGAAGAGCCAATTACGACATAGCACACACCCCATTACCTCCATTTCCTACTCGATCCTTTCAGCCTTTCATTCACTTCCATCCAGTAGAGTTAGACCGAACATTTGTCTCCTCCTAGTTGGACTGATTTCTCAATGTCCGCGTGTGATGAGATCTAATCCCCTCTTTAACGTCAACTAGGAGGGCTGTTCGATGGATTACATGGGAGATAAGCTATATGAACGCCATGTTGCATACTTCAAGGACAGGATTTTCGCATTTCATTTACGTGGGACGCGTGTTGATGAGAGGAAGCAGACGAGGTCACAGAATGGAACGAAGTCGGAGACGAGTTGCTCGTGATTGCCAGGCTTCGTGACTCGTTCCTCCCCATTCCCTACATTATCCTCAACACCAGAACTGGGTGGGATCAACCTTCTAAAAGGAAAAAGTCGTGATACGAGTGGGTGTTCTGGACAATCAAAAACCATGACTCGAAAGACCAGGGGGAAAAAAAGTCCTGACCCCTCTCTTCCCAGTCTTACGTCATGCCTTCCCGGCTTGATTCGAGTGAAAATAGCTGACTATTTTTAAAGGTTTAGTGAATCGAAAAGCACTCAGCAAGAGAGCGCGTGCACATCAATGAAAGGCTTTTTTTTCCGCTGTCGAAATGAGTTCAATCCCGGGGATCGGAGAATGACTTCGCAATTTTTTCAATCGTCCCCCTCTCCCTTTCTTTTCAATCTTCAAAATGGCTGCAGAAAAAAATCAACGGTCAATCAGGGTCTAGTGCATGGGTTGGGGGAATGGGGGATCGATCTGAGAGGAAGGGAGATGAACAGTATGTAACAGGTAGAATGGGTGTATGGGGGTCCCCTGAAAAAGCGTAGCGCAGGCGTGGATTCGATGCCGAATTCGTATTGCACAGGGGGAGGGGGAATGGGTAGAAAAGCGGCAGCTGGGCTCTGTCGCGTGTCAGTGCTGAGAGAAGTCTGTCATAGTGTATCTCCTGCCACACCCAGACGGATAAAGTCACCCAAGGGAGGTGTCGACAATGTGGATATGGATCACCCCAGACATCTAAACCTCCTCGGAGGAGAATGGTGATGTGGGGGGCTCCTGGGGCCAGCTCTTCTCACTATGGTAAGATAAACTTTCCTTTCAAACTTTAGCCTAATTCCTGCTAAGATTCGTTCATATTGACTCAGGTCGAGCTTATGGTAGCCAGTTCAGAGCGCGCAGGATAGAATGGCTGATTCATTATCTTATATGGGGGGGGGGGGGGGGTAGCAGGAGAGACATTCCCGACAATGGCCAACTCCCTCATCTACCAATATTGGAAAGGGAGAGAACTGGATAGAACGGGCAGGGCTCGTTTGTCTCGGTCGTAATTAAAAATCGGAAATTGTCATTGATGAATGTGAGACTCGGTTATTTACGACAAGGGGAGGGAGGATTTAGTGTGGTGGGTGGGCGCCAAATGCAGTCCATCCTTTTCGCATTCGATTCAGACCATAATCCCAAATGGTAGATTGCCCAGGATTCCACGCCTAATACTGGCTCATTTCTCTTCCTCTCTATTGCTTCGCTGGTCCTGGAAGAACCTCATATGATATTAGATGGGGGAAGGTATGACCTGCCATCATGAGAAGCTCTTGTCTCCAGGGAATGAGATGGAGGATTTCTGGAGGTGTAGATTGATTGGGTTGGATTGCATACCCAGTTGATTTGACGGCTGATCTTGGGGTCTTTCTGCGTGCCTCGAATGGCGAATGTAAGCTTCGCGTGTAATAGAGCCTCCTTTGAGTATGATAATCAGGGAAATGAAAGGTGGAGATGCTGCGGAAAGGAGATTTATCCTTATTTATGTTAGAGGGATGTCAGATAACGCATCTCCGTTAAGTAAATTAATTCCCGTGCATTAGGTGAATCCGGCTTAATGTTATTCACTCGTGTCTAGAAGGGAGAGTAATGAGATCTTGGACTTCCTTTTCGGTTCTCTTTCTTCCCCCGCCAGGTCGTCGAGGACGAAGAGCTAATGCTATCTGGATCGGGCGAGGAGGAATGCGATTGCTGGGATATTCCACCTCCGCCGGAATTTCACCTCCCACCCCCGCCTGAACCCCCGGACTTCTGCAGTCACCCTATCTCACCGCCCTCTTCCTTCCACACCTGTGATAGTATCATGGTATGAACTTGAATCATCATAACGGAGGGAAACTTTGTACTCAGAAAATTAGCCATGTCAGAAGGTTAGCCGAAAATTAGTAGCGTTAAGGAAAGACCATTCCAGAAAACCTCGTTTATGCGAAGCAGCACTGTAGCAAACAGCAGTCAGCATCGATCTTCCAAATAACTATAAATTTAACTGCAAGTCGCAACTAGCAATCTATCATACGACACTTGCAATCGTTGCGAGACACCCACGATTTCAGTCGTGAATTTAGGTTCCTTTCGTTGAGGTGGTGCCAAGTCCTTCATATTTTACAAGTCGTCATCTTGTTCTTTATAGCCTCAAGAAGTGGACTTGGAGAAGTCCCAGCCGACGGTTCCCGTGGCCGTCATCGTCATCTGTGCAGCCGTCCTCGGTCTCACCCTCACTATTGCCTCCGTCTTTCTTTTCTGTCGGTGAGTCCAACAGAATTTCAATTTCGACTCGAGGAAGAGAAGAGCACCACAGAATATCCCCTGGCGTCCCTCGATACAGTCACCGGATATGGGCTCCATAATAGCGAGGAAAAGAGAGGAAACAATGGAGAGGAATGCAAACGCTATGCAGAAAGGGAGAGCGAGAATAATGAAGGGCAGCTGGTGCATCAAGGCGGGCCTTTCTAATGGATGCAGACTGTTCGATAAAGAGGAAGAGAGGAAGGAGGCCTTATGGCAAAAGCCTTTCCGGATTCCCGTCGTTCCTCGAGTTCCCTATCGGGTCCAGATGAAATTAGCGAGCGGAATTTCCTAGATCTTCTACCTATTATCATCCTCGTCCCAGAGGAATTTCATAAACGAGCCTTTGGGACTCCCATGACTCCAGTTTTAGCATACGCAGCGCTGAGAAATGACGATAGTGCACTTTATTAGCTCTTGAATCACGTCTTTTCTTGGAAGAGGAGTTTCTTAATCTGGCAGAAAGAATAAAATCCGCATAAATGAAGAAGGAGTGTCGTTGAGATTCATAAAGCGGCACGAGTGGTATGAAAGAGGTTCGATGATGCGGATGAAGGAAAAAGTTTTTCTCTCCGATGGTGTGGACAAAGGGGAGGTCATTCAATTACCGAGTCCCTCTTCTATCTGTCGCCTGCGATGCCCAGAGAAGCACTCTGACTGAATACAAAAGGATCCATTGTCCCTGCACCTCTTCACAGATAGAAGCTTCGATCCCAGATAAAATACCCTGCTTTTTCTTTTTTCTTCTTCCATTCTCACACCCAAGCAATGAATCACTAGGTATCGTCAACCAATCGTTAGTGGCACCAACGAAACTGCATCGCCTAAGGTCGCGTCTGACCAACACGGCTGAGACTTCTCTTAACAAGGCCAAGGAGAAATCGGGGATCGATTGCCCTTACATGAAACGGGAACAAGGGGAATCCGGGTCACGAAACTCCCCAGCTTTTGACGAGTAACAGAGAAAGACGCAGAAAAAAAAAGTCCCCGAGAACATGCGAAGGACAAAAACAGGAATCATCAATCACGTCACTTTGTGTGTCTGCTGACAATTCCTTCTCATTAAGGTGCCACCCAGCTGAGCACCGAAGACATTATCGCTGGCGCATTCTCTTCCAGGCTCACAAAAGCATGTGATGCCTTGAATATCTTTTCTGCTTCCCTTACTTTTTTTGCCTCGCGAGGAAGGAACTTCGTCTGAGGACGCTTGACTGATTTGGGAAGAGAGGGTTATATGGGGAAAGAAATGGGAGGAGGGAGGAGGGAGGGGGGAGGGGGGGGCGGAGGGAAACTTGGTTTCTCATCAGCAACTTCCTTCACGCTCTTGAGTCGCATGGAAGTTGATGGATTAGAAGTTGATGAATTGAGCTGACTCGATTAGCACCCTCTTGGCACGATGCAACCAACGTGTTTACTTTTCTCTCTTTTCTCTTTCAGATATCGTCGGAAGCTGAGGCCATCGCTGCCTGGGAAAGGGAGTTCGGAAAAGATCAATTCTCTCGCCACATCTGCCGTGGGCCTTTTCTATGAAGATCTCAACAATTCTACTCCCAGGCCCTTGCCTCCTTCCAATCAATACTGTCTTAGTCAGATTGACCATTTTACCAATCCGGTTAGCAGCACTTGTGCATGCGAGAGGTTTCATATTGCACACTGCACTCACTTCGGAATTCAATATTGCTCTCTCTATATCCTTCAGAGTGTGACGGGGGAATCTCGTGGGGCTTCGTCTTCAGAACTAAGTTCTTTCATACGTCTTGCACACGTTCCTTCATCTTCCTTCGACAATCAGTCTGGTCGAATTTCTTGTAGTCCAGTGTACGAGGAAGTCAAAACCTGTAAGTTACGTCCAATTTTTCCTTTCAAGTTCAACTCCTTCAGTTCCGCATATATACATATAAACATTGTACTTCTAGGCTCGATGCTGAGAATAAGGGGAAGTCCGGTGGGGAGCAGACCAAGACGAAACCATTGGCAGCAGCAACAGCATCAGGATCATAATCAAATCGACCATCCCGTTCCGAACATATACCAGGACACTGATTCTCTACGAAGTAGTGTCCTGTATTGCGATCCGCTGTTGGCCAGTGACGGAAGCCTGAATCAACAGCGACCTCGACGATCCTATCAAGGAGGCTCACGACTCAGTGGGGGCTCCTACGAGGAACCGGATTTCCACGAGGGTCTTCTGCGGCAGATGACGAGTCGCAGGCCGCCGACTTCCTACAGTGCAGACATGAGTGAAGAGGACGAGGACATGGCCCTTTCCCGGCTGGGCGGACCTTCCAAGAGGAACGGGATGGACCTGTACGTGAAACCCGTTGAAAGTGAATCGGAGTCCCTGTATAGCACGGGAAGGGTGCCGTATTACGCCAGTGACGTACTACCTCAGGACTACGAGGTGCCTCAACGGACTTCGATGACTCTGGACAAAAAGAAACAACGGACGGCGCCAAGCAAGGGAAGACGGAGGAGAACTGCCGGGAGGATGGAGATGGAAAGCCGACAACCTCAGTTACATCCCTATCCTTCACTGCCGGCTCCGAAACGATCGACCAGTTCCGTCAGCGGCCGACGGCTCTTGATCGAGTGGTCTGACAAAAGCAATAACTTCAACCCCGTCGTGCTTCCTAATCAATCCCAAAACTGTCGCCATGAATCGAGATCATCCTTCCAAAATCCGAACTCCTGATCTCTGAAAGGGGGAAGAAAAAAATAATAACCAGGACCAAAGTCACTAGTCAAAAGAGAAAATATCCAAAGGTGTAGTGGCTGTGATCAAGGAAGGCAACTACGACTATGAGGGAGTCAGAACTGTGATAAAAATCATACCGCCATGATCTCGGTCAACACGTTCCCTCATCCCTCTTCTGTTTTCTTTGTCCCCTCATTTGCGCACATATCCTCAGTCAGATCCTGCGAACCGTCGAGGTCCGTTGCATTTGCATCCTGTGTCCACGTTCCAGATGTTGGAAAAAACAATAAAAAGATACGATCGACGCGAATGATCTATCTCCACCCCTTTCTATTGTGGATCTGCCGACATCCTCATCGCGTACCCACTATCAGATGCTATAACCCCATGGGCCCATGTGCCGCCTTTCGAGCTTTTCTTTTTCTCCCCAAACGAGCTGCGTCTAATTGTCCCTTGGCTCATGTGGTGTAGATCGCGCCTCTCCTTTGGTCAGATACTATCCCGACCCATCCTGACACCTCCCCCCTTCCCCTCCCCTCTTCTCCCGTCCCCTCCTTCCCCCATTTCCCCTTCCCCTTCCCCTTCCCCTTCCCCCTACCCCTCGATCTATACGAGCGAAGCACCTGTGAAGCTCAAATTTTGCTGTTTCATGCGGAACGATCAGATATATGATTTATGAATTTTATCTTTTTGGGCTCTGCTGCTCCCGAAAGACAAGGAAGTCGAAACTATAAAAAGGAACTTTGCCATTTTTAAACTCAGATATCTTCTTTGACAAATATTTTTTTTTTACGCAATGAATCCTCATATGCTCAAAGCTCAAGTAGAACGTCCGCCGTTCTACTGCGAAGCAGGTGATCTACCATTAAGACGTTGACTGGTTTTTCAGCTTAATTTAAAGAAAAAATTTGTATTGCGTAATGCATGAGCTTGGATTCTGGGAGAATAATAAATATATTCACCAACTGTATATGAAATTAACTCGAAGATGCACTTGCCCTCTTGCAATATAACGACTCGTAGAAGCAATGATGAGTTTTGAAGGAACCACCTATGAGATACATCATGGACATTTACCAACGATCAATGCAGTTTGGGCCAAGAAATGCATGCTGCTCTGAAAAGTCCAAGAAAACGAGCAGCCGAGGCTCCGTTCTAAAACACAAATAATGCATAAAGACCTAATTCAGAGGCTTTGTATTGAGGCCTAGTCTAACTCTCTACGTTCAGATTTGTACGGTAGGACCAAAAACGTAAACAGGATAGGCTGAAATTGTCATCATTGGCCACTTCTACGGCCAGCTAAAGGCCGATACGGCTCAGGTCTAATTACGTCTGAAGGGCCTTGGGATCCAGCCGTGATATGAGCCATAATCTATTTAATGATATCATAAAAGTATGGGAAAGTTCCTCGGAGAAGGAGGAAACCGTGCGTGGCCGCCGTCTCTGACTCAATAAGGGGTCAATTGTCTCTACACAGCATTGTGGTTTTTATTTCAGCATTTCAGCATTTCACCATATCTCATGACACTTATCTGACTTGGAACTTGCGCTCGGGCATCTCATTAGCCAGAACATAAGCATTAGGATCATCGGGGTCAGGTCATTTAGCACATATATTTAAGCAAAGTTTTTAAGGCTTGAGCAAAAAAAGTCGATAGAAATGTAGCGTAAGCCTGTGCAGCAAGGCATAATAAAATGGGGTCCAAAACCACTGAGTGGAGTGGTCGCCATCGGACGCGAAGCATCCATCTCCGTTACTGTATGTATTATTGCACCATTCTGAAGAAAACCCGAGTGGTTCCCCCGAGCCTCCTGAGTGGATATGGGGCTTTCTTTTCCCGTTAATTCTCCGAGATTCTGTGCCGCGATTGCAGCTAATTCTACATCGTTGGGAAGCTCATTCCATCTCCTTTGATTTGGTATACAATACACGGGGACAGGAGTTTTGACAGGGCGATCAGGGAGAGATTGAAGGGTCCCTCCCACCCGCTGCCTTTCCGCTATTCAGTTTTTTTTTTTTCAATTGAGCATCACAACTTGTTTGGAATTTGAGTTTTGATTGTTGTTGTGTTGTGCTGGGAGGAATTGAGAGGAAAACTATGCTTCTTTTAGCGTTGTCAGAAATGGGACAGTAGTGACTTTTTTTTATATATGGTTCCGAACCATTAATGGTGCACGATGCCAATTTACTCAATGGGAATTCCCCCCCATACTGGCAGAGCCATTTGGTTTCCAGGCACAGAGCCATAAGTAAAGATGGTTCTTTGAGCAACGACTCGCGAACAGACTGTATTACGCATAATATTTTTTTAATGGTAAGAATTGAGACTGGAAGAAACAACTCCCTGGCATGCTCATGGCTGCAGCGATGTCCGCCGAGGAAACCTTGTAAATGCCTTTCTACATTACTTCATTAACGTATCAGAGGAGATGGGTTTCAACGACAGCAGGAAAGTAACTAGGGGAGAGACTCTTGGATGTTTCCCTGCAACATAATACGACCGAGGCCATCTGCGAGAAGTCCCACAAGTGTCGGCAGAGATTCTACCCACCGTCAATCCGACGAGGATAGGAGATGGATCCATTTGGGGGAGGGTGATCCACAAAATAGGTCCTATGGGAGAAAGAGATTGAAGGGAGGAGGAAGAAAATATAAGGAAGCAATCATGTTCCGATCAGAGGGCATCCATTACGACCGGGAAGTGTCCTGCCATCCCTGATGGATCACTCTCGATCAACTCCTCCTATATTCATTCTCTTTTTCCCGACTGGACGAAGTTCCGCTCCTTGGAGTGTTCTCGACCGTTTCTGACCGAACCGGCAGGTTCCGGATTTCTGGAATGAATCACGCGGTAGCGCTGTGACTGCATTCGCCCGCAGAGTAATGAAGAGACCGTATGGGGCCTTGGATAGATGCCAGGGGGGATATTCTCTTCACACCTACCATGCGCTCATTCACCACGGCGCCAAAACAACAACAGGGCATTAGCAATCAAATGAGACAAATGGGTAGGTCGATGGACAATGACACATTATTTTTCTCGCCATGTGTGGTCTCATCGCACCGCTCAACATCCACTGAACTGAAGAATATGTTTTCTCCTCCTCGAGACAATGCCTTGTACTGAACACGGACGCACACAACAAGGACTTTCGAGACAGCGGATCATTTCTCAAACCGTTTCGGTGAAAACACGGTCATTCATACTCGAGTCTTGCGGTGACACGGTGCTCATACATTACCTGGGTCGTACTGGAAGCCATACGGGCTCGAACGATCAGTAGGCGGTGATCGAGCAAGGCGTCAACAGTCGCGAAAGAAAGGCTTACATTTCATCTGAAAGGGTCAGGTCGGTCTCAGAGGAGCCATAAAAGAGAGAAGTACCGAGATTGGCCAGGAACATCCTGACTTGGGACTGGAATGTCTCCGAGAATTCCCTCGAGACGCCGGAGGGATTATTCCCGGGGGAAGATCCATTTTGATCCAGGAAGGGCTTTCCATCTTTGTCTTCCCTCTCTCTGTCCAGACAATATGACGCACATGGTTTGTCTTTACAGCTCCGAGCCCGTGCCATCTAATAAAGTCGAGGCGTGAGAAATTGCTCTCCTCGGTATTCGACACCAGAACTGGGATCGATCTATCAGGCGGAATGCATTTCAATTTAAGCCGGCGTTACGTTCCCGGATGCAGATAGATGACTTTCTCGTGTCACATCGGAGTATGAATGACATGTATCTTCGCTTTGCGATTTAGAATTTGAGAGAAAAGAGGGATGAAGATGTGCCAGGTTCTGATGAGCCTGATTTCTCGTCCCTGGTGAGCCTTCGGATTCGTTGCGTTCGCCGTTGAAAAGCATATCCGAGGGAAAAAGTGGGGCAAACTAGTCTTAATCTTCATCCTATTATGAAGCAGATGCATGATGTTTGTCGAACCCGTTGAGACCCATCAATATGGATTACGAGTGCGGAATCACTGAAATACATCCGGTAGGACACGAAACCGAATCCGACCCGATCGGAGCCGTGAATAGACGAGATTTCGGGGGAGGGCCCCGCACAGCAACGCGTTCCCTCGACGATTCTGCCCTCGCCACAACAGAAGCGACCGCAGACAGGCGTCTCCGATTACCCCAGGATGGCCATCTGCCTTCCTGTCCCGGGCCTTGCATATAAGGCCCTGGATAATCCAAAAAGAGGAAACGGGGGCCGGCTGAATTTTCCGCCCAATTTGCGGCTGATGTGAAAGGGAGCGCGAAAAAGGCGCCTCCTCTGTCACTCTCGATAGAAAAAAAAAGCCGCCTCTCGGAGACTCACGTTTTTCCATTGCCTGTCCCCCATTCATCCTATAATGAGGTAATAGGCTTTCGGACTCTCGCTCCCTTTGTGTGAGTCAGGCTTGGTGTTGAACGTGCGCTCGGGAGACGACAAACAGCGGACGAGAGAGGTCTTTTTCCACAGGGAAAAATGCGAGGGGGAACGGAATGAAGCCTTTATATAAAAACTGGGGAGACCCTCGTTCGTGGTGAGTGTGTGCCCATAGTGGAACTAAAATCGACCCATAAATCACGTGCCATGCCAATTGTGGCAAATTGAATTTCCTCTGCCTATCTGTGGAGGGATCCGTGGAAGCGGCAATTTACAAAGGAAATCGACCACTGAAAAGCCAATGGTGCCATGATTTTCAGACTGGCTGGAGCGAGGATGAAGTATGGGTTTAATCATGGATTCGCATGGAATGTACGAGGGGCGGAGAGAGAGAGAGAGAGAGAGAGAGAACCGCATGCCCAAACTCGACCGCTGCCAGCAGTGACGAGGGCATGAATTTTCATACTTCTGACCTCCCGGGATTCCAAGCTTCGAAAGAGGAAACCCAGCAGGCTGCCAAGGCAGAACAACGGGA